TTGGGTAGAACTAATACATATAAAAGCAAGAATATAAACAATGTTTTCCATGCTGATTTATTTACTCCAAGATATAATCCATGCAATCGAACTATAAAACGCATGGTGTAGTCACAATACGTAGATGAATCAAGGCCTTCGTTACTAATTTCGATTATTAAAAAATACTCTGGATTATAAGGGAAATTTGTTGAAAGGTTATTCCCACAAGGACTCTGAGGTTGACACAACCATTTAATAGAAAAAGACGTATTTGCATTAAATATTGGAAGAAGTATTGGCTTCGCGTTAACGTTATCAGAAAAATTGACAGAATAATTTAACGTCATATCGTGATATGCAATATCATTGGAACTTAAATTTGTACCCCATATTAAGAAGTTACTAGCAAAGGTCTGCCAATTATAGAGAATTTTTTCTTTTTCATTGTACATGTGTAAGTAACTCTTATCGATTGCATTGGACATATGAAATGAAAATTCTGTTTCTAAATTTTCAAGTGAAAATCCGCCTATAATTTTGAACGTGTAATTGCCTAAATACGGTTCAGAAATTCCTGCCACATAATCTACTACAGTAAAGTATGGTTTAAAATCTTGGTAGAAATACAGGCATGGTATTTGATGTATTTCATCATCGGTGACAATTCTTTTGTAGCGATTTGGACATTCCCTAAATTTTTTTAATTGCTTTTTTGTACTGGCCCAATCAAATATTAAAGCGGTCTTGGGTGGGCATCCTACCATTACTTGCATTACATAAGATCCTTTGAATTGCAATTCGTATTGGTCATCGTCAGATTTTTCGAAGCATGCCATATCCGCCCCTTTGATATATATCGAAAAAATAATTGGCAACAAAAATTGTCCAGGAGAATGTTGAAAATAACTGGACTCTTTTGAAACGCTAAACAATTTTATCTTATCTTAAAATATAATAATCAATAATTATAATTTAATTGATACTTCCAATTCCATTAATCCCTCAATGGGTTTTAAAGTTTTTTTAGTTGTAACATCCAATATATTAATCTTGGAAAGACTAAATTCGATGTCTACTTCATCAAGATTGTTAATGTCTTTTGAATCAAGTTTTTCTTTCAGATGCAAGAGCATAACAAATTTAAAAACATTCTTTTTATCTATATAAATGACCTAAATTGTTAAATTAAATAAACTTATTTGCAATTAATAATTTTTATAATATACATTTGGCAAGGTTTGTTTTATAATAGATGGCGGTGCTTCATAATTAGCAACATCACGATAGGTATAATAAAATTCTAATTTGTTTTTCATATCGGAATGTTCAAGCAATTGGTTTTGATACAAATACGTAGTATTAGCAAACGAGGGTATGATAGATAATATCCATTTTTCCAGCGTAGAGACATATTGTTTGATGTATGGATCCTTGTAAAATATATCCTCATTTATTATATAATGTGATAATGCATGATAGTATAAAAAGGAGTTGTCAGTTTGAAATCCGTTCATGTTTGAATGCCTTGGAGGTCGAAAAATATAGCGCATTTTTCTTTCAAAACTATGCAGATCGTTGAATTTAAATTTTATATTTGTAAACGGACATAAATCTGTTTTCAAATCCAAGTTATCCACCGTCTCTCTCATTTTAGGTGCCAATCTTTGTTTTAGCATATCAATATAATCATAATATTGATTCCTAATCAATACTTTGGAAAATAAATTACCATGAATAATATCCGCATAGTTAATTAGACGTTTTGTAATCTTAATAAAATCCAAGTCAGATATATCAGATACTATGAGTTTACCCTTATTCTTAGCTAAAATGACGATTTCGTATAAATTACCGTGCATATCAAAATACAATGATAGGGGAATTATCCATACAAACACATAATTTTCATATAAATCCATTTTAAAATATAATTCAAAATGCGAAGAATTTGTCATCAAATCATATGTCCAGTCAAGACAAACAAAATATTTGCTTTTATCGCCAATATCGCATTCTTTATTAAAGATTATGTCCCAAGAGAGGGACGGTCTCAATCGTTTTATTTGTTCGGTATTACTAGTAGTAAACCATAGTTCCTTTTTATCATTTAAAAAGGCATGATACCCCTTGGTCGCAAAGTTGGCAAAACTCGTGATCATAACTCTCTCTCCCTCTTGCTGTGTATAGTTAACATCGAGATAATTCTCAATGTACAATCTGCGATCGTAATTGTCTAAAAATATTAACACTTTGCCTAGATCCTCTGTTTCAATAAAATGACTGCCCAAAAGATAAAGCTTATTGCTGAAAGATGAAGGATATACAAGTTTGTTGTAAAAACAGGGAACCTCATCATTAAATGATTGTTTGCTAGTTTCATCTTTTGTTTTCAATGTAGATTGATGAATTTTTAAAGTATATCCCATCCCCATGCTAGATTTTTTTCTATATAATAAAATGTAATGGTTTTTATATCATGTTTTAAATATTACTTTGAGGTTGGAAGTAATATATGAGATGTTTCGAAAGAATCATTGTTTTCAACTACGTTTACCAATAGATATATTATCTTATCCAACTCAACTTTGATAAGTACACTTATTTCCGTTCTTATATTGGATGAAATGGCTAAGTCTTTGACATCATAGGACAATATTTTTGCTCTGCCACTCAACATATTTTTTATATCTATAACAATATGATCTAATTTCCCAATTTCAAAATTATTATTAGGATCGCATAACCAGAGATTTATAATAAAGTTTTTCTTTGATAAAGCTACTATCCGCACCTTTGGCGATCTAAAATTTTCAGACATAGCCAATTTTATAACGCATTCTGAAAGTAATAACTTTACGAAGGGGAGAATATCGCGATTATTCTTAGTCAAGTGGTCCACATCTTTACTAAAGTATTCTTCAAAAAAAGTGTCTTTTATAATAAATAGCCCATAAGATGTGGCGGTAATAATCTGTTTCAACCATGATATAGAATCGAAAAGTATTATTTTTGAACTTTTATTATACTCAATGCATATAGGCTTAAATGGTTTGATCAAAAATGAAAAATTGAATCCATAAAAATATTTTACATCTTGTGTTGTAAAAATTAAGGTATCGTAAAATATTCCCGTAACAGTGTAAAAAAAAGAAATCTCAGGGACAATTCTCATTTGGAATTCTAAAGTAGAATTAAAGTTGCCTTTTAATCCAAGGCCCTTAAGGTTATTTACCTTCTTAATAATTTTATCGTGATCTATTATGATATCCTGAAACAAAGTGAAATATTTTTTATAATCTAAGATGAATGATATTTTGCCATTTTGTATGTAATGTAAGTTTTTAATGTTTTCTATATTTTCGGTAACACGAAAGTTCACGCGCGTAGAGAATTCTTCGTCAAAAAATGGTATGGGTATATACCAAGCTACGTTTTTGATAAAGGTATATCCATCATCATAAAGATTTGAATGATTTGTAAGTTCAAATGTAGGTATAGGGGCTCCTATCATTTCCAAATATAAAGGTCCGTGATCAACTCCATCTTTAACCAAATATTCGTAAATTAAAATTAATGTAGGATCTATGCCTTGGTAATATAGACCTAGTGAAACCATATCGTTGGAAAGATTACTGCACGCGACCATTAATTTCACATATACTTTGGTCTTTTGCTTTTGAAAATATTCTGGAAAGGTATTGAGAGTGTTTGTCCCATTAGCATTAGCAAAGCCATTATAATAATATTTGTATTGATTCATGTGGTCTTCTTTGATGCTTTTTATATTGAATTGCCAATAACATTTTGAAGAATCAAATTTAATTGAAAATATTAACTTCAAATAAAATAAAACAATTAAAATAGCACTCGTTAACATTTAATGAAGCAAAATAAAATTGATAATTTTTAGAAGGTTCTCATAAAAAATAAAATAAAACAATATTTTTTTTAAAAACAAGGTATTTATATAGGATATCGATAAAAAAAGATGATAGCGTGTTACTTCCTTTTTGAAAAGGAACTTTATGTTACTCTACTACTTTTGATTGAATTATTAGTTATATTTATGAATAAATAATTCTTTAAATTTAATATTATAATTATATTTGAATAAGTGATAAAATGTCTAAATTTAATCGATTATTGATCGAAGATGTTTTGATGACAACGATATTATATTAGAACATTATCTTGTTTATTATAACTCATAATACTATTAAGGAATTTATTCCTTTTTCCATACTAAAATTTAAAAATCTTAAAACAGATAAATTGAATCCAATAGAAATTTTAAATGGGTTATTGTAAAAAAAATTATATATAGCAAGTCTAGTAGTTATTATAAGAGACACCTGACGCTATTTCATAATTGTTATATTTCTTTTGAATTTAAAATTTTCTTTCTAACATAATATTTTAAAGTAATGAAATTTCCCTTTTAAATAAAAACTGGTTACTAAGCGGTTATTTTTTCAAAAGTAATGGAGGTGGAAGTGTGCTACTTCTGATAGTAGCTTTTAAAAATACTATAGATATTCAGAATTTTAATGTATTGCAATATCGTATGCTACTTTTTAATTAAATTTTATAACCACTACCTGCATTCATAGTTAGCGCAAATTCGCAGTGAATTATACAAAGTTTCACCCAATATTTGAATCATCGCTTAAATACAAATTAGCTGGTGACATTAACAAGCCAATTTGGTTTCCACTATAATAATTTTTATAAACCTATGCCCAAAATCTTTTTAAAAAAATTTTTAAAATTTAAATTATGAAATTTCATAAAATTATATTTTGAACATGTTTTTATTTTTATATTAAAAGATTGATATTTCTTTTTCGATAAAGTTTCAAAAGTTTGCGAATAGAATTTTTTGATATTTTGGACACACCCTAAATAAATGAAACGCTGCCAAAGCAAACAAAACATAATTTTATCATATATTTAGAATCAATTAATAGAAAATAAAATCTTTCATAATGCAATATCACATTTTGTTTAATAAAAATCGGAAGAAAATTATATACAATCATATACAAGTAAAAAATATATTATTTTGCACTAAAAGTAGTTATATTTTGAACCGGGTTACAACGCTTTATAAACCAAAAAAATATTGGTTATAACTTAAATGATCGTCGATTAAAATATATAATATAATATTTAAGTAATGTCAATATGAGATAGAGTTGTGTGTTTTTGATTATAAGATTTAAAAAACAGTTTTCCGTATTCGTAAGTGCTTATCATTATAGCGCAAGCGGGAGCAACCTTGATAACCCTAGGAACGACACCTATTTAAAAAATACATAGTAAAATATTTTAGGATTAATTTAATTTCTTATTTGTATATATTAACTTAATTAAGTTAATATACCAATATATCAGCCAAGGTTACAAAATAAATGTATTAAAATGGCTTGTAAACTCGGTTATAACATTAAGGAATGGATACCTACTAAGGAACTCATGGGCAATTCTTATAGTAATCATTGTAAGTAGTATTGCCCAAAATCTTGATAGATTTTTAACCAAAAAAATATTGCCTAAGACATTACGAAATCCTGAGGCATTTATTTGGTTCTTCATTACATTTTTTTAAAATTGGTTCAATTTTAGGTTTCTTTAAGAGAACAATTTTTAATCGATGATTTAATTAGCGAAATTAAACCTAGACTGGTTATTCATTCATTAAATGGCATCTCGAATCGTAGTCAACGGTTAGACAATACCGAATTTATATCTAAGATACAAGATCTTTTTTGTCCTTTTTAATGAGATAATATCTATATTTTAGATACTAAATTTTCAAAATAATAGTGCAAATTTTTCATTTCTTTGACAAAAGATACAGATGTTTAAAATTTTTTTATTTTTTCTCGTAGATTCTTTCATTAGTAACTTTATATTTTAAAAATTATTAATTATTTTGAGACAATTTTATTGTTGTAATCAGGATTGGGTAAAAAAAGTTAAAAATAATACCTTACATAAGCGCTCTTGTAATTCTCCCATTTTTAAAATGTAATGAAGAGATTCTGTAACCATTATGTTTATATGCGTAATGTAACGTTTGTTTTTCGTTACTTTTAAAGTATTTTTTTTAAACATAAATATTTTTTAAAATAAAAATAATTTTTTTAATTAAACATTTTATACCTAATATGTGTTTGGAAGACAAGGAACCAATAAAAAGTGGAAATAGGATTTTTTCATTCAAATCTCTTATTTGTGGGATTCAATGATTTCGTTTTCTATTTTCTTAAATCATGGCAGCCAATAAAAAAAATTATTATTACAGCGGTGTTGTGAAAGATTAATTTAATCCTATAGATTGTAATATCAAACGAAAAATAGATAAGGTTTCATTCTAAAAACAGTTTCACTTTGACTTTTTTCTACATTACACATTACATTAATATAAAGGATAAAAAAAAATTATCTTAATAGTCGGGATTGGATTCTACATAGAGTCCCATTAATGTCAAAACAAAAGTAATCCTGTATATTCAAGATTTTCCATTTGAAATTCATAGACAGCATAAATATATGATCAAATTTGCAGAGTCCTTATTTTCGTTTGAATTTAATTAATCAAACAAGAGAATGAAAATGATTAAAATTAGTTCCTTTATCAATTGTTTAAAATGAATTTGATTGTTATTATATAGTACATAATATAGTTTTAATTTATATTTTATATTGCATTTATTTTCGATTTTACAGAAAACTGAATAAGTAAATTCATTATATTTTTTATGTAATGATAAGAACAGTTACATGTTCTAACTAATAGTAAGGAACAATTAAATTTTTTTGAGGTAAAAGTGGAAACTTATTTGCTATATATTTTTCTTGAAATAACGGTAAACGTTAATTTTTAAAAGTAATGTTCCCAGCTCTGATTGTATGCAAGTTAGGATCTCCCGGCCCGAACAGACTTCGAGTAGGGCCTATATTTTTCAAAAAAAATTGGGAGGAGGGGTCGGGTCGGGTGGAAATATTTTTAAATATATCTAAATTTATCAATTTTATATTGAATTCTTTATGTAAAATAAAAATATTTGATTTTGATGCCATATAACATATGCCTTTTATTTTGAGTAATTATAAAAATTAATTTCTATATTTAAATAAATTCAGACAGGGTCGAGCCGGTAAATTTTTTTTAAAAAAATTTTGGGTTCTGGCCGGCAAAACTTTTTAAAAATTTTCGGGTTCGGGCCAGGCCCGCAAAATTTTTGTAAAAAAAATTTAGGGCCGGGCCGGGTTTGAAAAATTAGGCCCGATGCAGATCACTAACGTAAGTTATATTTTTATTTTATGATTTCTTGGTGCATATTTATATTAATTATTTTATATGCATTGACAAATTTGTATACCCTTTTATTATTGTAACAAAAGCTTCAAAACAAGTTCGATTTTTTGAAAAAAAATAATGAACGACGTTTTTTTGTTTTTGAACTTGGAACATGAACGCGTTCCTTTTTTTGACCAATGCGTTCGTTTAATTTTAGAAAATCTTCTCATTTTTATTGAAAATAAAAAAATATTTATTTAAAATTAATCCATATTTTTTAAGAAAAAAAAGGTTATTTTTTAATAAATTGTTTCCTATATCACGTTTGAATTTTTTAACCAGTCACTATTTTTGTCCTATAGTATAGTTTATTAATTTGAATATTATTTATAGAATAGCGTAAGCATGGAAGTTGTTATCTCATTATCATAATCTGATAAAAAATTACCATGGCCCAAATATAAAAAAAAACTTTACAGTTACATCATATCTTCAATAAATTAATTCTATCCTTAACAAATGTATAATGTGTACAAAAAGTATAAAATATTAGTTTCAAATCTTCATGTTCTAATTTTAATTTATATTTGATTGTAATATAAGTATAAGTATCCTGTTAATAATTTATTATAGATTATTGCATTTCCTTATGATGATTATTAATATAAATACAAAAAGTAAAAATCATTAAATATTATATAGAATAAACATAGATATAAAATGGTTAATATCTTTTAGAATTTATTTATTTTTAGGGTGATTATTTGAAATTTATCTATTATTTTTAAATTTTATCAAAGGTTGCATATTTTAATAGTTGATAACTATTTAAAGTTTATATATTTTATAAATAAATAAATTTATATGATAAATAAAAGTTTTTTAAAATAGTTTTATTCACTTAAAACTATTAATTTTATACATGGCTAAAAAAATATATGGATATTTATATCATATTAAATTTTAGAAAAAATATATTCATAAAGTTTTAAATGAACGTGAACGCGTTCCTTTTTTTAAAGGCGAACTTGAACGTGAACGCTTTCAATTTTTTTAGAAATGTATAAAGACTATGTAATTTACTTTTCTATAAATATCGATATTAATTTTCTCAATCATCAATGGAAATTATCATAATCTTTATCATTTTATCTATATGGGTGCTTTAGATTTGTGAATGTATCTTAGGATATAACTTTTTGATATATTTAATAAGAAACTTATATCTGTATCTAAGATATATTTTTCATAAAGATGCTGTACCCTTACCTTGATCTTTTTTAAAAGGATCTGCTCAACTCTGAAGACAAATCAACTGGTTGCATACCATTTTGATTCCCCCAGTTTTCCATATACAGGATTTTTATAAATAATAAAACTCGGAAAATTATCTTTAAGTTGTAACAAAATTTTAATATACTTTCCTTACACGGGAATTCAAAATGGCTCACCAGATGATTTGTATCAATACACATTCATTGAATGAATGAATCGTCAGTCCATGTAATAATATATTATCGTCATCGGGGCCAATAAATATTTTCAAATCATTGTCATAAAGACCGTGTGTCGAAGTGGTTTTTAAGGTTTTTTTTACTGCATTTATTCATTTATTTTATGGTTTTTGTTATTGTCATATAAACCTGCATAAAGGCCCTTAAAACCATTAACTCGGTATAATTTTTTGATGAGCGAAAAAGTGGTATTTGATTTTGAACAATTTATATGTTTGGCCTCCAATTCTCCCAATTCTATTTGCCGGTGAGTTTTTATAACGTCGAAAGGAGTTGTTAAAATAGATGCGACCTTAATTACGATATATATATAAGGAATTATATTAATAAAGTATTATTTCAAAATAAAAAAATATATATTGAATGTAACTATGTAATAACCGTTCCTGCAACACCGCCACTGATGAAGGCTATCATAATTTGAGATTTCCTGGGGGTAGATTTGGTTATAAATCGCGATTTGATGTGTTCGTAATTGACCCAATAAAGAGCTATTTTATTTTACATAATTAGATGATTAAATTCGTATAAAATCTTTTATTATTAGTTTTTTCAGTAATATACCGATGCCACTTTTTTAGCCAATAGCGATACAAAACTCGATACTATATATATTTGCCAAGACAACCGATACCAAAATAAAATAATGTAGTATATTATTTGTTAGAGAAAATAAATTTATCAGTATTATTATTTTATTTTATTTATCACTTTTAATTAAATTATGAAATTTAAATAATGTAAATGGTAAAAAAAAATAGAAAAAAGAATAAATTAATAACTTATTTCGTTTTTTATCGGTTTAAAAATTGAATATTATATTTTATAAAAAAATATCTAAGTTTATGAAGGTTAGATTATAATTTCTGTGTATTTAACACTGATATTGATTAACGGTGAAGGGGGGGGCTCCAAATTTTTCATTTCTCTTAGATATAAATTTCCCACCAACACTCACCCTGGCGCCTTCTCCCCCAAAAAATGAATATAATATATCATATCATTATAAACAATATTTTTTTTAAAGTAAAAAATTAATAATCTTTTTAAATAATGACTATTGAAAATGTAATATATCAAAGTTCTTCAAGGAGGGGACTTAAAAATATCCTGTAAAATTTAAGGTGAAAATAAAGCCACTTAAAAGTTCACCCAGTCCTACCCCCTTCCCCTTTCATAAAAATCCTGGTATGCCAACGGATACTGATATTAGTTAAAATATTAAGTATCGAATAAAACTGACGAATACCTATCGGCCGATTCGATCCGACATTCTCTTTGTTTTTTATTATTTTATTATTGCTTAGACTGATTATAAATTAAATTTATAAACTTTAAAATAAATAAGCTATTTTAAATATAAGTCCAAAACATAATTCTAGGAAATTTTATAAATTTCAAAAATTTATCATACGATTTCTAAAATTTTAAAAAAATTTTTGAACAATAGCCTTATATAATTATAAAATATTTTTTTATTTTATATGAATAAAACCCAAAATTCAATTAATTTGTTTGTCATATTATCTGCAACAAAAAAAAAATTAAAAATGTTTAGCGTAGTCATATTCAGTTATAAACATTGTCCATACTTTAAATGGTATGATTAATTTTGGTGGAATAAAATAAAAATAAAATGCATTTGATCATCATTCGTGATAATGCACTAAATATCGCCTTCATGAGAAACGGAAAATAAAAATAAGTGTTTTTGTTGTGGTTTATACTTATAGTGTATTTTTCTATATAGAAAATATTAATTTTTTTATAATAATGGTTCAAGATAGAAGGTAAATAAAAATATCAAAACATCGGATCAGTATCGAATCGGTTTTTATAAATATCGAAAAATATCGGGTCGATAAAAATCTTGTAAAGATCGGCACAGCCCAACTGACATGACCAATACCAATAAAATATAAAGATCCCCTTTGTAACGCTGCTTTTAAAATGCTCGCAAAGTAATTTTTTTCAACATTAAATGTTTTTAATGCTGCATTAAAAAAGTGATTCAAAACTACCTCTTATAGAAATATACTAAAATGTGCATTATTTTTATCAAATGAAATCGAAATGGAGATCAAATATTAATAATGATCCCCTCCATAAACTTATTAGATACCAAGTTTGTACAATTACTTTTTTGTAATTAGTATTAAGTATAATAGATTACATTTTTTCAGGTATGTAATTAGGATATTGTAGTTATAATTATAATTCCCTTTCTTATTTAATTAATTTTGTATGAAAAAAGCTCAATAATTCATTCATATTTTGGGTAAATGTAATGAGTGATTCTGAAACTTTTTTTTAAATGACTGATAAAAATGATAAAACCAAAAGCACTGCTTAAGCACTCTGAGATCTTAAAGGGCCACAATCAAACTACAACTAATTTCCTAAATGTTTATACTAACTTTTATTAATTTAATGCCTTGCAGCAAAATAAATGATTAAAAAAATTTTAATGTAACGAAAAGCTTTTATAAATATTACATGTTCTACATTCTTTTTTAAGTAACGGTAACCGTTCCATTTTTAAAGTAACGTGCCAAACCCTGACTATGCTTTATAAAACAAATATTAAAATAATTGTTTTAAATTTTTATTATATAAAATAAATTTCGATGTATTAATAATTATTTTATAATAATTTATATAAACATTATCTAAAAATTATTTGTATGTATAGAATTGATAACCATATTTTATGTATATACCCATTAAATATTAAAGATCACCTTTATATTTTAATTGGCAATAATTTTCTGGCCACTAGGCGGCGTCTTTACAAATAAGACAACTCTGGTTAATAGACAACGTATTACAAAACTTTTAGGTGTAGTTTAAAATAGACAGTAGATTTTGCTCACAGAAGGAACAAAGGTTTAGACATATATTAACGAAATCTTGAGACACAGATAATAATTTTCTGGCTAAAATATTGAGTTAGCCGTTTTATAAAATTGGCTCAAAATGAGCCGTTTAACAATTAATAAGACCCCTTGGATTAACTTAAAATTGATATTTCAAGAAGGAAAATGAAAAATTTCAACCAAATTGTTTTAAACGTGTTTAAGATTTTTAATGGATTAAAGGAAAACGGTACTATGAATTTCAAATAGGTTTTGTAATGCAAATTTTTTATCTGGCCCAAAATATTTTTTTATTTTCCCTCATATAGTAAAGAAAATTAGCAATATTAATGCAAAAACTTCCAAAAGGTTTTGCATTACTGTTCTACTACTAAAAATTTTATATCCAATCCAAAATCAAGTTCTTGGAGAATTTTGACTTATTCTACCCTGGAGAAAAGAAAAAAAAGCTATCAATTTTTAACTACTCCTAAATATTTTGTACTAATGACCTTCAGAACTTGCCTAACCCCAAATTTCAAAATTTGTCAACAAAAATACCCTAGTGCCATCATGCGGTCAGAAAATTGTAGATTATTTTTCGTATTTGTTTGTTTCAGTTAATAAACTGAAAGATAAATTTAATTTTTAGATAAAAATTATATAAATTAAATTTATTAATCATTCTAAATTTTTAAAATAATTTAAGAACCATAATTTAAAAAAACATTTGTTTTAACAATTATCAATATCAATATATGTATATATATATATACACTAATAACTTACATGAACTTAATAATCCCAATGTATAAATGATATTTTTATGACTATACCCTTTTTTTGCTTAAGCAATTTAAGTAAATGTAAATTATAAGTCAATAATTTTGCCCAAAGTTGTAAAAATATTTAGATTCAAAAAATATTATCAGCAACATATCTAGATACATTTTTATAAAAAATATTGTCATCGTCATGTTATAATTTTATTCTAAGTATTTTTTATTATATTAAAAATAATTTAATTTAATCTTGTGATTTATATTATATTAAATATCTTGTCTCTATTTTCAATTCAAGATATTTTATTTCACACAATGAATGACCAATAAGAATAGGGTATTAATATTATATTATAAATTTGATGAATAATATTTATGATACTGATGAGGTTGACTTCATATTTGAGTTTTAAGTAGTAATGTAAACATAGGGTAGATTTATTTACTCTGGGAATACTTCCCATTTAGTTTTTATTATTAATATATGGTAATTTCTCAGTTTTTTTTTCAGTTTTATATTCAGCCAAATTTTAAATAACTTTTTCCTAAAAAAACATTGTCTCTCATTCTCATTACATCAACTTACTTGTAGGTGGGCTATATTGTAAAATATGGTAATATTTCTTATTAGCTTTAGCCATTTTCTGATCATTATATTATAATGATTTTTTTTTGAGATAAATTTAAGAAAAAGTAGAATTCAGCATATTTTAATATTCCTTTTTTAATATTTATTATGGCTTAAATATTGTGAGTCTGTTTTTATATTTGTGGATGTGATTAAGTTGACCATAATAAAAAAATATGAGATGAGACTTATTTAGCCATTAAGATTCTGATCTATTATAATTATCTTCTTCTGACAAGTGTATCAGGAATATAGTTTTATCAGAAATTTTAGTCAAATTTATTTTAAATTTTTTGTTGTGCAATTTTTCCTTATTTTCCCGAGAATTTTCTCAAGATTTAAGTTTCCAGGAATTTTACCTAGTTTGATGAATAAATTTTCAATTTTGGCATTATGCTCAACATACATGATTATTATTATAAACAATATATTTTAATTGTATCTTTAAAAAATATATCTAGATACATTTGAAAAGAAGATTTTAACAACTCTATCTTGGCCACTGGGTTGTTCCAAATATTGCTCAAAACATAACCCCCATTAAGTAGTCATTTTATGGAGATTTAACAGAACTTTTTAAAAATCGGTTTGGTCTTTTATTATTCTTTTTAGATTTGCTTTATCATTTAATATCATAAGTTGCCCTTTACCACTAACCGAGCTTAAATCTATTGCTAACTATAAAAATAATCATATCTTATTAATATTTATAATTTAAATATATGTAATTGTATAAATAAGGATTTACAAAACAAAAATTATAAAAATTATTTTAAAATGTCAGTTCAATAAAATAAAACCTGAAAAAGGTACGTCCCTTAGTATTGTAGGTGCCCATCCTTTCCACAAAGATAGGACTCCATTTAATTTTAAATCTTGTTTAAGAGCTTGTAAAACGGCTTTAAATGCAAATAATATTTAACCATAATGGGATTAATTAACAAAATAAGTAACCTGGGTAATTAATTTGAACAGATTGAACTTTGGTCCTGATCAATTCTAATGGACTTATAACAGTTACAGCGCCAACTTAAAAAAAATTTTTTTAAAGGGATTACTTTTTACAAATAAAAACCTCGAGCTAATGCCCCTGCTAAAATAGGGATAGATGAATAATACATTGTTTTTTCAGCATTTGTTTCACACATATTTGTATCCAGATAGCCCAATTTGTATTTGATTTGATCGTAGGTAGTGAAATATACCATTGTAGCGGGGATTGCCATGAGTAATGTTGGAGAGAGCCCACTCCATAGAGATGTTAGACCCTCATATTTGGTGATTTTCATTAACGCATCCTTTATTATAATATAATGGCTCATGATACATTAAATAAGAATAGCGAATGAGTACATTTTTTTAAAATGACATTATATAAATTAAGTATGGTGACCCTTCATCGCGTTTTTTTAGGACTATCCCGATTTCAAGACTCTTACCGCCAATTTTATTTATAAAATTTAAATTTATTTATTTCGATTTTTGGCAAAATTAATCCGATTGAAATCGAAATTCAAGAATGATATAAAATTTTTTGGTGAAAAATATTAATAAGTAATGATTTTTTTTCAACTAATAAAAAAACATTTAAGGTGATTTTTACATCTATTTGAATGAATGGATGGATATTGAAATATCAAAAAATGACATACAATATAAAGATCATTAGAATATATCATGACACAACTAAATGCAAGAAACAATGAGTGAGCTCTTTTTTGGTGAATTAATTTTAGTCAAAAAATATGCATAAAAATTAATATTACTATTTAAAAAGAAATTTTTTAAGAATGATACCAAAGTATTTAAAAACTCTAAATGTAAATGCTTGTAAGACATTTCTTTATGGTAAGAGATTCATAAAAATTGTGATTTTTTTCATACTTTTTTTGACCTCAGCATAATATTACCTTGCAAATAAAGGTTTAATGCTTAAGGATAACTGTTTAGTATACTCATAAGCCATGATCTAATTTGATATTTTGTTAAATAAAATTTCTTATTCTATTTTCTAACCCAGAAATATGTTTCAAATTTAACAATCGATGAGGCTGAAATTGCAATGGAACATCGCTAATTTCTATATCATAACACCAATCTCTTGTCTATCCCATGTTAAAATTCCAAGCTAGTTCTAATCCATTAAGTTTTCAGATGAAATAAAATAAAACCATTTATTTACATCATTTTCATTATTAGTTTCATCGTTGAGAAAATAATCTCAAACTTAATTTTGTTTTATATTATATTAGGGTAGAGTCTGGTCAAAAATTTTGATTAAAAATATATAACATGCTATATTTAGTAAAATAAAATTTCCTTTTAAATAAATTTTACATTAATGTAAAAGATTTTATCTCTCCTTTTTTTAATGTGTGACTGCTTATTAAATAGTATAAAAATTATCAGTCAATTTGCTAGAATTAGAATTTGAAACAGGAAACCCCTCTTTTAAAATTAATAAAAACAAGAGCCAAAACCTAGTTTAAAATTTCAAGGAACTGGTTAAATAATCAGTTCTAGTGTAGTATTTTTAATATCACTATTTGCATAGGGTTCTATACCTCTTTTTTAAAATTTTTTACTAATATAAATTTTTTGAAAAATTCAAAAGTGATTTTAAGATAAAATCTAGTAGTCAATTTTAAGTCTGTGTGAAAAGGGCTGTTTTGGTTTTATCTTTAGTTCAAACTATAAATAGCTATATATAAAAATATTATTAGACTCTCAAATACAAAATTCAAATTTAAAACAAATGTTGATTGTAGATAGATGCCACCAGGGTTATGAACCCTTCGACAAAAAAAAAGGTCTGCAGTGGGGTTCAGAAATAAAACTTTTAAGAGAGAGTTTGGGCCTAAGGCCAAGTTTGGAGAACATAGAGAAATATTGACTCAAAATAATACCAGTTTTTTTTCATTTATTTATCTTTTCATAATTTTCAAGTAAAAAATTTAAAAATTAATTTATATTTCAAATGTTTTATTATATCGCACAATATAACATCTTCTAAAATATCATCTATGAGAATTTTACGCAAATCTGATGTATTCAAATAAGAATTAACAAATTATTATACGAATCATTGGTACACCTATAACGATTCTAATAAAGATATATAGTTCATGATATACTGAAGAATTTTCTTGCCAGAATTTTAAAATATTTGTATCCTTATTTTATTTCTCTTAACCTATGAGAACCTTTCAATTAAAGATGTAATAGGAATTTGTTTTCCTCCTTTTTAACTGATGACAACTTTTTCTTCTCTATCTTAAATAAATTTTCAGCCATCAGCAGTGTTATCATTATTATCAATATAATTAGTAGATATGATAGTAGCCTCTAATATATTGTAAATAATGGATTGTTTATGCCATAATTCTTTGAGACGGTTTTTAGCCATCTGTTTCCTCAATATCAATAGAACTTGATATCGAGGGTCTAAATATATTGAAACATTACTACACTTTTTGGAAAATAGTTTTGCTTTCGAATTTTCATGTTTATAGGTAGTTCTTCTGATAGTGGAGACAGCTGTTTTACTTTCTTTAAAAAAGAACTTTAATTTTTCAATATCTAATCGGCAATTAACCCATATGCCATAAAAATGAGATAAACAGAATTGTTTTGATTGTGATCTTAGTGTTATTTTTAAAGGTTCAAAATATATAGTAAGGTTTATTTGATTCCAATCATATTAAGACAATACGACTTCACATGTGCTTATAAAATCTATACAGAAATCTTTCAAACTAAATATTCGTTCCTTCATACAAACTGAGGATCAATGTGTTGTGCAATCCAATATAGCCATTGACATTTTCATATTAATATTCTAATAATTATGAGAGTTCTTAAATATTTTCCAATATCCCTTGCTTTAACAATAATAATTTTAGTGTAATTATTTTTCAGGGAATCATTAACAGCTAATTGGAAAATATAGACTGCACAGTGCACACTTAATGCAATATACATTTGTGGTTTTCATAAATTTAAATTTAAAAAAAATTCAAGTATTATTTTTTTTAAATTTTTAAAAATTTTTTTGACACCTAAGGGATACTTTTTTGGCAAAATTATGGTGTTTGGGGGTAAAACTAATAAATTTAGTCAACATTTTATCCAAATTGGTGATGGGTAAATACAATGATTGAAATAAAAGTAAGTAAGAGATTAGGATAGGTAGATAGGGGTAAAGTATGGGGGTGGTATGGAAATTAGGGAGGGGAATAAAGCATAGGAAATAATGTAGGATATAATATCAATAAGAAGATAAAATTTAGGTAAAGAGGGGAGAAAAAGATTTAGAGTAAACAAATATAAAAATGACTATGGAAGTGTGGGGGGGGGGCTTAAGATAAAATAATTGATAAGCAAATAAAGATTAAGTAAAGAGGTAGAAGAAACGTTTGGAGTTAGAGTGGGGAATCCAGGTAGATGGCTAGTCAAAACAAAAATTATTGAAAAAAATATTTTAAAATATAAAACCCAAAAATTGTATTTTTTGTTTGTCTGAATATTGGCCAAATCTTATTTAAATAATACATTAGTTTATGTAAAAAAGGTTGGTAAGGTGATTTATTTTCTCAATTCAATCAATAAGAATTTATTTCTCCTTATCTTAAGGGCTAGACTATATTAAGGAAAACCTCCAAGCTGTTTTTTTTATAGTCTAGTACTGTGAATATCATATGATAAAAATAGTTTATGATTTGTTAAACAAAGTACCCTATGATAATTAAAACATTGAACCAAAAGAAGATAAAAATTAATATTAATATAAAAACCCATATTTAAAATTAATTTTTCAGAGCATTTTGAATGTAAAGAGGTGCAGGGGACTCTTGAGAATAATAATTTAGACTTAACCCAATTTCAACCAAAAAATGAAATATGACTCTGAAATAATCATAAGTGGTGATATCTGTTCAAAATGTTGTATGATTCTTTTTAGGAGATATATATATGGCTAAAAAAATATTTATTTTTATAACAGTTTTTAACTGAAATCAGAACAAGGAAACTTCACAACAACATCAAATTTAAGTAATGAAACCAGAACAAATATTTTAAATTTAAAAAACCAGAACCACTTTTTTCAGAATATTTAATATGAGATCCATTTTTAATCCAGATTCTAAACTTTGGTTAAAATACAATAATCAGAAATCAAAGAGCTTTAAAAAGAGTTTGAATCCAGAACCAGGATCTTCATATATAGATAAATCCTGGACCAAATCCCTATTTAAAATTTTTAAGAACCAGAATCCATTTAAATTTTCCAGGAATTGGTTCTATAATAAAAGTGCCAGTTCTTTATGTAGAAATTGTTCAAAATGTTATGTGTTCACTTTAAACTATTGTTTTTTTCATTACCTTAACAAAAATTGGAACTAAAACTGTATCAAATCTAAGAATCAGAACCACTTTTAAATTTTTTAGTTATCAGAATAAGAACCACTTTTTAAGAAATATACAAAACTTGAACCCTTATAAGGCCAAAATCCGTTAATATAAATGAAACTGTATAATTTAAAAAATACAAGTATTAAATAGCTAATTTTTATTATCTGTCATTTTTAAAAATATTCTTCTTTATGTATATTGATGCAGAAAGGTGTTACTTTTTTAAATTTTATCATTTTAAATATAATATTTATATTTTTACATTCTAGAGCTAAGATCTTCTTATGTAATGTGTTTTAAAAATGTATTAAAAATAAAAATGTGAATAATTTTACAAATAGAAATTTTATATAATCAAATATAAATAAATCAATATTTAATTTATTTTTGGAATAGGCCTGCTTACAAGTATTAATTAAAATTAATCATCATAGATTCATCATTATAAAATATATAGTAAAATCACGATGAGCTTACCCATGTTCCAGAAAAATGGCTAGGTCTCTTGTACCAAGGGCGACCATTAGATGTTAACCCATTTTCAACAGAAAAGCAAATATGATCCCAAAGTCCATTGCAATATAAAAAACATTGGCCTTTTTGTATAGGTATTTGCTGAACCTGAAGTCGTGTTTTGATAACATCAAAAGGAGTAGCTTGAAATAATTTTAAAAATATTTAAATGATAACCATTATTTTACATTAATGCTAATAATAATATAATAGTATTTACTTTTGTTACATATTTTTACAGGTAAACTTAAATGCTTTTGTTGAGCTTGTAACCTGATTTTAACTACATCTAAGGGAGTTACTATAATTTTTAAACTTATTTGTAATAATTATTTATTTATTTTATTACCAAAGAGCGATGTAATTAAGCCTCCTGTGCATGAAGAAACAGCTTGCTGCCAAGGCTTTATGGTACAATTAGAATTATCCATGAGCTTGCATATAGTATGCAAAAACCTAGGATTTTTAAATCAGAAAGAAAGCACAAATGCGAATATATAAAATGAAAACAAACAAGGGAGTGCTAAGCACTGCTAAGTTATTAACGATTAGGAAATTCAATATATAGACTTTTATTGATAATTATCTAATAAAGAGTTGTGTGTGTACAATTAGGACTGGACCGAGTTAGAAATAAATTTTTTCTAAGCGATTTTATTTTGATAAGCGGAATTTTCAAAAAAAATTTTGGCCCCTAAACCTGGCTCCCAGATAAAATCTTTGGCCCCCAAAAAAGGTTCCCATAAATTTTCCGGCCCCCTAAGTTGAAAAAAATGTAATATATTATTTTTATATTTTTAAAATAAATTTTAAATATTTATTCAAAAAACATATCTAGTTTGAAAATTCTATCCTCTTTTATTTTTATTCAATAATACATTCATATTTTATCACTTTCATGGGTGTTGTGTATGACATTATATATGCGCTTAATCGCGTTTAAATTGTACTTAATTCAATAATAATTATTTTATTTATTATTCAAACACAATATTATTATTATAATATAACCAGTTATTTAAAACAGCGGTGAATATTTAAGAATTATGAAGAAAATACTGAGATAACAAGCCAGCAAATTAACCGCAATCTTTACTATATTAAATCAATATTTGATTTGATGCTATTTCTTAGCATAGGAACTACCTTTCCGTGGGATTGGTTCAACAAAAATTACGGATGCTGCAACTGATGAAAACATAATTTATTATTCTGGACTATTTATAGCAATTTTTCATACACCATCCAAAAAGATCCTGAATTAAATAAAATTATGAAATTTATACCCATAATAACCAATATACAACTTCATCCCAGATTCAAAACGAAGTACTATCTATCATGGCAGATATGGTGCTTGAATATATATAACAAAAGTGAGATGTCTTTTATTTGTCTTAAGGCTGATGAGACAAAATATGATTTTGAAAACCTGAGCATAATTATTCCTTATATTTTTTCTGGATAATTCCAAGAATTTTAAAAAGGAATTATTAATTAACAGTGTCTTTCTGCTGAAAACATTACTAATTGCATTTTAAAACAACTTAATGAGTTAAATATTAATTCATAAGCCAGGTATATTATAGGGCAAACGTTATGTCTGGCGGAAATGAAGGCAAACCTAACTTCAAAAAAATTAATAAACAAAGTTTCTTTTATTCATTGCTACAACTATATGTTGTATCTTGTGGTACAAAATTGGTATAATAATATTGTTAACATTTCTAATTTTCTTAATTTTCCAATGCGTTGTATAATTTTTTAGGCGCTTTAACGTATCCTGTAAATATGCAGGCCATACTCTTAAGAGACTTTTAGACCAGAGGTGGACTGGTCATTTAGAAATATCTCGCATTATTTATGAGAATTTTGAGACTATTGATGAAGTATTATTTTACTTTTCTAATAGAACTCTTAATTCAGAGGTGTCCACTCTTCATTCAGTTGAAACCTCTTGTCATTTATCTCAATGTGTTAATATAAATTACGTTATATACCATTATAATTTATGTGATATAATAACAATAGATCCACTAAATAAGTATCTACAGTCAGTAGGTACTAATCTAGTGGATGCTAAAAATTGTATTGATTCCACTATCAATATATTAAAAAATAAAAGACGATAATTCGATTTGATAAGAATTAAGGCTGAAATACTTTAGCAAAATTTAATCTCACTCCCCAAATCATCAAGAGTACGTAAAAGGCTTATAAATTTTCAAGATTTTTTAATAGAGACCAAATTACAATTTTATTGTGAAAAAGACTCCAATTGGAGTTCTTTAAAAAGTAATTATTATGAAATTATTTATTACTTTGTGTTGATCGTTTTTTAGATAGATTTACACAAAATGACTATAATCTCCTATCATGTTTTAATACATTGTCCCCCTTTGGCCCTGATTATTTTATATTAGATAAAATGGCCTTATTGGAATCATTATTAAACTTAAATATGGAAACTTTACAACATGAGATGAAAATAGATAATGGATTATTAGCTGCAGAAGTTAAAGAAACTCATAATTTTGAAAATATCCTAAATATTATGTATAAAAAAAATATCATGCATTTAAAGAATTGTATAAATGCTACTCAGCAGCCATCATCATTAGGGTATCAACTTCTTGTGTGGCCTCTTTCTCTACAATAAATAGAGTTCATCCAGCACTAGAGAGTCAATGAAAGATCAACGTTAGCAAAATGTAGTATTTATGGCTTATGAAAAAAAAATAACACCAAATAAATCCTTTAATTCATTTATGTTAAAATTTAAAAATAATCGTTGTATTTGTATTATGTTTTAGTATTATTTTGTATATTCATATTATAGTATTATTTTGTATTCATTTACATTAATAAATTTTAATAAAAATAGCAAAAAATTTCTATAAATGCTTAATTATTTGTTTATTTTAACAAAATACCTCAAGTAAGCAGCTGGCCCCACTCTGAAAATCCCTGACGACAGCCTTGGATTTATCTGCCCCTTTCCCAAATAGAAACTGATAAAATCACTTGTGCTTGATGATATCAAAGCAATTTCACTTTAGAATTATTTAATTATCCTTTTTTTTTTCATTTATCAACTTGTTTTGTGCAAGGCTATTTCTCGATAATCGCATCAAACACATACAAATAAAAACAATATAATATTTTAATTTACCTTTAAAAGAATTGTAAGAAAGAAACCTATGAGTGGTTTGGCTCCTTTTATTATAATATAAATCTAATATATAAAATTTTGAATTATGCTTAAAACCAATGACATTATTATTATATGTCATTGGATAAAACAAATTACATTCTTATTTTTTAATTATAGAGGTAATATGTACATTAAACCTCCTTTTTCACTTTAAGCATGATTCTCATATCTCTTTTATACTAATATATTTGTAAATCGTCACTTTCTAATCAACCCAATTTCAAAAAAACCCTTCTATCAATATTTGTTATCTAATTTTAAGTGAACTTGATTTGACTTTGTTTTAGCTTAACTCCTTTATCTTCCAATTTTGTTCCATATTTCTTTTTTAACTTCAGATTTGTTCTTCCAATCTAGCTAACTCTTCTTCTCAGTTTGTTTCACCAGCACTCCTTTTTTTTAATAAAAAAATTATTATGCTTAAATTTCTGTGTCTCCTCTGGGTAATTCCCCTATTTTATAACCTTGCTATTCATACTACATTAACACTGGGGTACTTCATCATTTCCATATTTTTTAAATATTCATCACTACCTCCACACAATATACTTTTTACATGTGTCATTTCATCTCTTCTTTGCTATATTTCAATTTGCCATATTGTCAACTTTCAGCGCTATGTTAATTTTTGCTTTCAGTGATTTATATCTCTCACACACCATTTAATGGTTTTTCTATTTAGAAATATTCATAATCGCACTATTCAAGTGATATTTTTGAATCGAAAAATTTGTTTTCCGTTATTATTCTTTATATTATATTAACTCACTTAAACTACATGATGCTCTCTTCTACAATTGAAGCAAAAAATAACTATACTAGTTACATTATTTTTTTGTGGTATAATTTTTCAATAAAGCTAAATCCACAATTCCTCACACATTTTTCGCATATTGTCTAGTATTGTATGCCCCCCCCCCTCTACACTCACACTTAATATTATTGTCATTCGAACGAAAAGGGAATATAATTATAGTAGTCAAACTCAACGTATTTAGAAGTTCGGCTTTCTATTTATATATCATAGCACCCCCACTTATAACAATTTTCTCTTTTTCTAGGAAATTATTTTCCGGGAAATTATTTTTTGAGTAAATTAATTTCGTAGTAAATTTTCTCCTCGAGAATTTTCCTGGGATCTATTTTGGAAGGATTTTTTTCTATATACAATTTATTATATTTTTAACTATCTTAATATATTTTGAACTTCAGTTTATTTATCTTTTACAAATTAATCTAAATACATCAATTAATCATCATACACAAATAACAATATATTTGAATACAATTAATCATATTATTAATCGCCTTTGAGGTTAATTGATTCTATTACAATTTCTCCAAGGAATAGTTGTCCAGCGAGTTTTTCCGGAGAATTATCTTCCTCTACTAATATTTTTAACTTGTCATATAACTTTTTGTGCATGATATTAGGTATCAAGATAGTAATCAATTAGGAAGTTTTTAAAGAAGAATTCGGAACGTTAAAAGATTTTGAAGTTAATATATGATTAGTTGAGAACTATCAACCAGAATTGTTAGATAAATTAGTTGATATTGACTAAGACACTTATACTTACTTAATTATAATTAGACACATTGGCCAGAATTATTGGAGTACTTTTATCAATTACCTTGATATTGACTAAGATGCTTATACTTACTTAATTAGAATTAGACGCTAGTACACAATATAGTTTTTTTATATTTTCTTTATTTTATTTTTCGATTTTTCAAACAAAAAAATCTTAATCATTGCTTTTTTTAAAAAACTCATATATTTTTTATCAATTATTAATTGTATAATAAAAATAAATAATTATTTATTATTATATTATAGCATAATATAACATGCCATAGCATAATATAACATGCCATAGCATAATATAACATGCCATAGCATAATATAACATGCCCCTTTTAGTGGTAAAATCCGGGGTACATGCCACAATTTTTGCGATAAATACAAAATACATATATATATTTATTTAAATTATCAAAAACTATTTATATCACACTAAATTTTTTAAAAAACTAATACTACAACTATAACATTTTTTATTTTAATAAAAAATCCAAATAAAAAAACGTTATTCCTGCGCATTTATTAACATGTCCTCCATCTTATTCTGAATCACCTCCGTCACTATATTTTCTGCGGGCATCCTATCACCCCTAATTCTATTTGCATTTATCGCTAGCCGATCACTCGGAATTCCATTTGTATTCACTGGAACCACCTCCGTGCGTAACATTTCTTTGGGTCATGACTAAACTGCGAATTGCTA